GTCATCAAATCAGACTCAAAGAATTGAGGTCTTTAATTTGGATTGTAAAAAAATATTTTTTTGTATTTTATAGAATAATTTATAATCTGTTCTTTTTCATTTTTTAATATTGTAAATGTTTGTTAATCAAAATACACACTGAAACTGAATTTCACCTAAATTTATTAAAAAATAGGACATTCACATTTTTAGTTTTCTGCTAAACATAGAAATGAGACTAGTGGTTTTACAGATTAAAACTTCTGCATTTTTGTTTCTACCATCGTTGAATTCCTACAGCATGGTTTAAAGTAACATGTTGTAAAGACTATGTATCATAAAAATAGCCATTCCAAGATTTGAACTTTAAAATCATTTTAGCAAAATAATTTATTATTATGTACTATAATTTGTCTTAATTTGTCTTAACAGCTTCCTCTACCAAGACGACATATATCAGCTACAGCAATCATTCAATCTGAAACAGGGAAATGATACAATGTGAAGAACTCTGGTATGTGATCTTAAACAATGAACAGTGACACCGCCAAAAACTCACTCCTGGAGATCTCTGTAGACTACAATCAATCAAATCAATAGTTAATCTTGTAAGGAACAAAAAGTAGCCACAAACCAAAAGTATCAATACAGGGAGTGAAGAAACCCGTGTTATACAATACAACCAATGAGTGTCAAGCTAAATTATTGCTTACTCACGAGCAGTTTAAAAAAAAAAAATCACAAAGGGAAAACTAATGTTAGCTTGTGAAAAAAAAATGCTGTTGAAATAAACCATGTCTGATGTTATTCTTGTAAGTATTTTTCTGTGATTGTGAGAACTCCCGTTCCCGTCCCACATTGTTCAACTTGTATAAGACAATGAATCTGTTTCTTGTAATGGCTGACCGGATTGAAGCCCTGGGTTGTGCTAAAAATAAATGCAATGGTTGACGCATGCGATTTTTTATACAAATAATTTATTTCTAATAATAAAGGAATGTTTTGCAAATGTTGAGAGTTGTTTCGTTCCAGTTTTAAAGCCAGGGACAACTCTTTCCAGTTGGCACTTCTGCTGTGATTTAACTCCTGCTGTAAAAGCCCTGGTGTGCCAAGAAAATACTGTTTCCTCGAGGAATGTGTTTTTGTACATTTGTGTGTTTGTGAAGAAGATTGTCTCTTATTCCTATATGAAAAAATTATTTGTGTAAGATTTTGTGACTATCCCAAGATTTATGTAGTAGCTTTTCATAGTAATTGCTTCTTTTATGAAGAATCAAGGCTTGAGGTAATCTGTTTCAGGTATCATAATTAACAAATGATGAGTTAAACTTGACTTGGGAGACTATAATATGAAAATCACCATCTAAATGTATATCCAAGTGTCACTGAAATTCTCCATTTTCCAAGTCAAACTTTTGCATAATGAACTATTCCAAGGTATGTAATATTTTTTTTTCTCACCTGGGCCTATTATCCACTGAAGTCAGTGAAGTAATGGGCCTTTCCCAGTACATTCCTCAAAGCACAGAATTAGCATATTTATTCCCTCGGCATCACTAAAGAAACCACAGTTCAGATAATATGTCAATGCTTTCTTATTTTCCAAATGAAAACATTCATTGGTTCATAGAACAGCATCATTAAAAAGAGTGAAAACAGGAAGCCTGTGTCATGCTAATAAACCACGCTAGGATGGATAAAGGAGCCTGTTAAAGGCTTTCAAATCTGCTACCATTTTCATCATGGGCTTCTCTATTCCATACAATCCCAGACATCCATCAAGTCAATGGGTCCCTACAATCATTTTGTTAGTAAATGTTCTCTCTGCTGAGTTAGCTTGGACGGCTCATTGCACTCCTTACAGATATAAAGAGCTATCTGTGCTCCGGAGCTTCAGCCCAGATATTGACAGTCACTTTATTTAATAGGGAGAGTTGAAGTAGCATAGCTCAGGCTTCATCAACATACAGTAACATTTCCTAGACCCCTGCCCAGACAGAGAGCTGCACACAGAAGGAAATGTGTACTTACTGGCCTTTTGTTGAGTTTCTCCTAATAGTATTTGTGGTTTGTGGATAATATTTAAATTAAGAGTGAGAGTATTGCTTTCAGTTTTCGGATAATCTGAATTACTGATAAATATAATCCTGTAATCAGGATCGTCACCCCACCTCTAGGTGTGCCTTTCTAGATAAGACCTAGCTTAAAACAAAACTAACTCGTAACTGCACATTTAGGATATTTGTTGTGCCACGTAGCTCAGTCCTAATAGCCATACCAAGAAAGGTAATTACAACTGTATTTTAATTTTTAAATTGACAGTTTCCTTCGTATTGGAGATTGTGAGTCATTTTAAAGATTTTTTTAAAAACTAGTGAGTATCCATGTTTGGTTGAGAAAAATGCTTGAATTTTACGAGCCTTGCATTTCATACAGAGTAAAATTCAAGTAAACAGTCGTATTTCATTTACTAATTGATTCTAGTCAGGATAAGTGGATGCAACAGGGTGATTATGAGAGCAAAGCTGGCTCTCAGGCCAAAGGAGGGTTATTGTTACTATTACTATGTTTCCTTCTAAGGCTTTAGGAAGAAAAATAAAATACTAAGCAAAATTTGTGACATTTCAAAATTGTTCTTCCTATTGTAAGCTTACCAATCGGTTGTCTTTCCTAAGTACGTTCATAAATAATGGCCATTATTTGGTGTTCTACACAATTTATTCAGCTCATCATAGAGTTGAATAATAGTTCTCATAGATTTACATATGCCAATCATCCTTTATAACAGTATCTCAGTGGGAAGTTCTCTTCTTGATGAATCTATCACCCTCCCCAGGCAGTGGGAGGATAACCTCCCTCAACCTCTTACAGTAGGAGCCGGAACATTTTGACCTCCACTGTGTTTATTTTCTCAGGGATTTTGCTGAGGCCTCAGGAGATAGACATATAGGCTGGGACAATGTGGGGGGGCATCCTGTAAGAAGGATTCAGCATGTGCTGCTAGTGGTTCATAAGTCCCATGCTTTAAAACGAACTGCCTGTGTATTATAGATAAGCAAATGCAAAGTTGCATGGAAAAAATAGAGTATTATATTCTTTAGAATCGACCTTGTGTTTTATTCCGGCCAAGAACTGTCACATCTAATCTCAGCATGCCAGAGGGAATGCTAAAAATGTAGCCTACAGTAATATTCAGCAAATGTCATTAGTAGACAATAAGCGATTTATTAGTGTGACCTTGAGCCAACCAAACTTGACCTCAATTTAAAAAAAAAATTAGCTTATCTAGCTAACATTTAAAGGCATCTCAATCAATGGTAGTTGATCTGGCACAAACTGATTTTATTTTTAAGGAAAACTACTCATAAATTTAAACTGGAAGGATGACCATTGGAACATGAATAGGAACTAAATGAATAACTTAATTTTTAGTGTTTGTCAGAAATTTTTACATAAAGTTTAGCATTTCAGATGAACAGGATTTTAATTTAAATACCATATTACAGGAAATCTCACGAAGAATAAAAGTTTGTGTCATTTATATTCCCTTTCCCGTTAACTCTATATTCTTTATTATTTACCAATGACAGTGGAGAAAGAATATTAACACTCTTCTAAATTATGTTAGCCAACACTGATATTCAGTCAGCAAGTAGAAGAAATGACATTCTTAAACTCCATTATGCAACCTTACCAATTTTTCTCATTTCATTTATTTAATTTCCTTATCAGTATTTCATCCATCTTTTAGAACAAAATTGCTAAAAATAACAATAAGTTTTCATGAAAGGATGAATAAGAAATAAAACCAAATTATAGAATATTTTAATTACATGTAAAATAATCTATAGGAATGCTTCTTTTTTGCCTATATTACAGTTTTCCTTTAATGGAGATATGAATAATGAAGAAACATTTGACCATAGCTAGAAGAAAACATTTCCTTAAGAAATGATGTCCAAAAATGTTCAGAAACTTGCTGACAGTCTTGGAAAGTGTCATATTATAGTAGCAAAAAGCAGAGCAGTTGTTT